TATATATGCATGTATGTATGTGTATATACATAGATACACATACACACGCTCTCCTTATTATATCGGATCTTGTTTTAAGCAACCGCTTGCATGTGTCATTAGATTACTTTAGCCTTAAATATGACTGCAATGTCAAAACGGCAAACCAGTGACATCACGTAAAGACTGACTCCAATATCAACAGCAATGGTGTCGGAGCTCCACGAAGCTCCAACCGCGCAACAAAGAACCCCGAAAGGTAGCGATTGAAGGCTCCTGACCAAGAGGATCCCCCCCTACCTATCGCTAAACAAAAGGCAGCCTTCAATCCCCCAAAACGCCCTGAACCTCCCCTCCAACCCCGGATCAAAGCCTCCCTAGCCCAGCCAGCCTGGCTACGACAGCCCTGCAGGAGCCTTCCCACCCGGTTGCTGGGGCCGGGGCATCCCAGGACTGCAACCTCCAGGCAGGCCCAGTTTTGGGCTTCCCTGCGAGCTGCTTGGGGTTTCGGGTAGTACGGGCGTTCGGGGTTGTGATATGTGGGAAGAGTTCTGCCTCTAGCCTCTTCTAAAGCACCCTGGGACAGGGTCGGAAGGAACGTCCATGCGACTGAATCGCAAGACTGGGACTTTCCTCAGGCACAAAGCAGCTCAGGGATCTCTTCCTTTCCTCGGAATCACACTGGCAAGGAAGCAAGGAGATGCAAACTCCCAAAAGCCCGGCCTATGCCCAGCTTGTCCACTGCTTTGCTGGCGATGCCACTCCCCGACTCACTCCCGGTGAGGCTATCGATCCCTCCGGCGACGGCCGAAACCCCGCGCTGGGCAAGGTTCCCTTTCGGGATACCTCAGAGGTGTCTCTTAGCAGTATTAGCATCATAAGTATTGTTGCTAGTGACACTGTTGTTGTTATTGTTCTTAGTAGTGTGATTAGTCTTAGTTTTGGTATTCTTAGTATTGAAGGAGGCTTCTCATAATAATGCGCAGAGACTGGGGCGGAGCTTGGGGCTTCAGCACGGCACCGGCTACAAACCCGGGGTGGGCACTGCAGGGCCTGAAACTTCCAACAAGCATATGCGTGCTTGCATAGATATACACAGTAATACACAATGCAAGCATAGACCTGCCTGTGCTTGTATGCAATCCAGACGTTTTTACTTATGTGAATCTGCCTGAGCTGCGTATGAACCAAGCCTTCATACGGCGCATCGCACAGGAAACTTGTAAACTGCACGCATGCGCGCTGACACCGAGGAAATGGCTGCTGCCGCCACCCATGGTGGCTGGCTTTGTGCGGTGGGACTCCGCAGGCCTTTCCGGGAAAGGGTGCCTGTACTGTCTATGTTCCGCTCTGCCTACTCAGAGATGGGGTCGGGCAGTGCACCCACACAACCACGAGAGGTTCAGGTAAGGTACGCAGCAGCTAGTTTGAAAACCATCAGGGCACTTCGAATTCTTGGGCATGCCACATATGCGGCCTGTTTGATGTCGTGGCTAGCGGCTTGAGCTGCCACAAACGGCTCAGCACACGCACACATCGCTTTCCGGTTTCAATCCGAAAAGGCTCGCAATGCCTTGGCTGAGAGCAACAAGCACTTGGCCAACAAGGACGTTTTCGCGAGGGAGCTTTCCATGTTGGAATGTCTGTTCCTTGCAGATTTCTGATGGAAAAGCCTCACTGCCTAAGGTCGGGATCCGGAGTTCAATGAGGGCATCAGCAGGACCCTCAATCCTTGTAAACTGTAGCTGAAACATCCTGAACCGTAAACACTTCAGCCCTGAAACATTGTGGCTAAGAGATAAGAGTTCTGATTCATCATCCCTCATCCTTAGGCGTTCTGCTTGAAACTCTTGACCCCTGGCTTCTCGCTTCCGGTTCAGTCGCAGCTTTGGCCCATCAACTGCGCACCAACCTGGGCTGTGTGGAGAGGAGATTCCGTCCGGAGCTGCTCGAACATGTGTTGTCGCCTTGAGCAAAGGTAGAGCGACAATGCTCTACTTACTACATATGAACACACACGTGCACACCCATTTTCATACAGCTAAAGCGAGACGGACCAAACCGAGTCCCTGCAGGTTTTTTCAATGTTGTCTGAACAATCAATGCCAAAAGATTTTGGCGACTTGCACTCTCTCGCTTCTGGCAGGCACCTGCCGTGATGAGGGAACAGCGGCTGAACAGCGTGAACGCTTCGAGGTCTGAGCCACTGTGACTCGAATGATGAATTAGGATGATAGGTTCACTCGCCAGACAGGAGCTGCTTGACGTCTCTTGTGCCTCCCTTTCGATGTAGTGCTAGCCCTTCCTTTCCCGCCAGGCTACTTCAGCTTTCTGTGAATTCCCGATCCCGTCGGAGTCTTCGAGGAATTTCCGATCTTCCTCTGGAAGCCAAGACAGGAAGAGACGATGCTCTTCACGGCTGTACGGATTGGAGGAATCTGGTCCTTTCTCGGTGGACAGCTTCTCAAGACCAGCTTCGAGGGCTTCCAGAATGCTTTCAAACCTTTTTGAATTAGGATTTTCGTTTAAAAATTGCTTCTCGTCGTAGGTTTTCTTCACCTGCTGTGGTGAAACTCCGGACCTTGCCTCTGCCTGCCATCTTGTCAAAATGGTACACTTCAAGGGTGGCACCATGCTGGACTGCGAAGAAAATGCTTGCAATCCAGCGAGAACACCAGCGGCACCCCCACCCTGTCGCCTCACCATACAAAGGGGTGCACCAACATCCTCCTGTGAGGTGAGGTGGTAAACTCTGCGCCTCCTCGTCCGGCACTGGGTCATGGGTACCGTAGTGCTCGGAACCCTATGGCAAAAAGACAACTGCTGCACTGACGATGTCTGTCTGACATCGTCGTGCCGAGCACCCTCCACCAAGGTGTCCTAGGCTGATCCGCACTTGGCTGGGCAAGAGACCACGGTGTTTCGACCAGAGATCACGTCTCCCTCAAACACGATCGTGTGCTGGTTTGTTCTAAAGATGGCATGCAGGGATTGCCGCCTGGGCCGATGTAGGACGAGTAAAATGTCGCCCAATCCGTGAGCACTGCAGGACCTAGGCCAAGATCTGAAGCAACAAAACTCATAGTTACCGCCACCAGGCCAAAGCAACAGCTGCAGGGTGCGACAACCGGAAACAGCCAAATGAACACTGTGGGCCACCCATGGCCTTGGCTGCTGATACGATAAGCCACTGTCATGGCCACACTCCAAGTGAGGCCGATAGACGAAGACGCCGAGTGCCATAATGATGTCTTGACCATAATAGTCGAAAATATAGCCAAGGTCCTCCCTGGCCTCGAAGTTTCTCAGCTCAACCCGCTCAGCTCTGATGGCTTCTGCGTTGGCGAAATTGGCTCGCCAAGAACGACGCCCGCAGCCGATCGCCCTCCAGGCACCGCACCACAGCAGCGTCGCTGACAGGGCGAGCGCTGAGGCTGGCAGCTGGTGCTTCGTCAAGGCCAGGACCGTGCAAAAGGCCATCGATACCAGCAGCGCAATGACGGCAGCAGCCTTCTTAAAGCAGCGTTGCTGGCTTTGATGAGCTGCACAGGTCACGTTCTCATTCATGGCTTCCTGGACATTTTGCTGACGCTTCCCTCGCAGTTCGGCCTCGCTGCGAGCAGCTGTCTCTTCATGCTGAATGAACTTTGCCGCTGTGGCAGAGAAGGATCCAAAATCCTTGGAGGTGCTGATAGTTCCACCACTTGACACGCAACGGCCGCGGACTAGCGCATCATTCCTCAGTCGGACCGCCACTTGGAGGTCAGGGGACGCGCTCACCGGTGGGATAGACCGCTAGCCACTCATCGGAATTCCCAAGACTCGCCTTAACTGCAGCTGACGAATCGCTTAAGATTCTGCATGCCGTTGAATCAGCTTGCGATGAAGCCAGCTCTATCTGTACCGGAGCGTCGACATTAGCTGGTCAAGCCAAGAACGGCTTTCGGCTGCCAGCTTCTGCCATAAGACAAGCGGAAGCAGTTTGGATGCGCAGGTGTGTGGTAATCTGGTCAGAATGACTGCATTGAGCTGCCACTGTCCTTTGTCACACCTTTGCCTGCTGGGGTATCTTTCGATGATGTTGTGCCCTTGAGAGCCCAAAACGCGTCCCGATGCGGAAACGAGTCTCTATATAGGAACAAGTCTCAGAAGGTGCCCTTTCGCCAGCAACTGTCCTTGTCGATCCATCACCAACCACGACGAAGCACCAGCAAAACGATCCGCCCATCAACACAACATCGACTATCAAATGACAATCGCCACCACCATTCTCAGTACCACTACCATGCTGATCATCAGCTTCTTCTTATGCAGCCGCAGAAGATATTAGCAAGCTGGGTAGCATGGGCGACGCACCCATCCAAGCAATGGTCTCGAAGGGCAGACCACACCAAACCTTTCAACCCAGCATCAGCAGCCCCTAAAGCCCCTCAGCCTCAGGCCCTAAGCCGTAAACCCTCGACTAGAATCTCCTGAAACCCTGAAGCCTTAAAGCCCCGAAGCAAAAACTTCAGGTTCACTTCTGAGCATTGGGCTCCGAATGACTGTCTCGGGACGACTCGCCCCGAACCTCTCCGGGCTCGGTAGCTCGACCTGGGGCTCTGGAGGTTTTGGGTTCGCGGGTTGCCGGCTTAGCGGGGCTTCGGGCTTTTTCGGCTTAGTCAATTGACGGGGTTCAGGGTGAAGGGCCATGTGAGCATTACTCCTGCCGAATGGTCGACCTGGCACAGTTAATCGGAACGTCACAGCCTCATTGACAGTGAGTCAGGTGCCACGCCTCTGCAGTTGGGCTGGAAGTGTGCTGTTTCGGCCCTATGGAATCGCCCAAGGGATCCACGACACCATGCTGCTTCATTTTCGTGTTCAGAGCTCTTCCACTATCTGAGCACCACCGGCGCCCACGAGTTCATATCACTAGCCACGTATTATCAAACGAGAGATTTGCCTCTTTGGCGGATCTGCGAGTCTTGTTGCTGTATGAAGCCATGAGCTTGTCAACCTCCTAAGCGTTCATCACCCTCATGTTGCAAGATAATTTTGCAACGTGCCCGGGGCCCGCGTCAATTCGCGCCCTGGCGCTGCCGTGGTACAGTCGTCCCCTGGACTCGATGAAGCGTAGTTTGGCACACAAACGCCTCTCCCGAGGCGTAGTTGGAGGAGTAGTAGTAGCCAGTAGTAGTAGCAACCGTAGGAGTAGTAGCAGAGTAGTAGCAGTAGTAGTAGTAGCAGTAGCAGCAACAGTAGCAGCA